AAAATGTTTCCTATATACAAAATCACAACCATGTATTTTCTGAAATACTGGAACCCAGGCAGACATATTTGACATTTACATACAACTCATAATCTACATTCCAGGATCTAATCATCTTTACAAAAGAAGTTCATTTCACTTTCTTAACATGTGGCATTTCTCCGAAACCCAGTACAAGGCTTTAAGCTCTAAAAAAATCAACAACAGATGAAAATACCATCATGCTTGTTTAATCTTCTAAGAAACACCAACAAAAATCAAGTGTGATACAGTAGGTGTCGAAACAGTTGTCTGAAGGGAAAAAAATCTAAAATAAAGGCGTGGATCTGCTTACCCACGATTATTTGAAAACTCTAAAATCCCTTTAAAAACCCACAATTCTATTCGGTGTTCCTAACATTTAGGAATTTCAGAACACAGTAGATGGTTGGTGAGCTAACATCAACAAAGTAGACTTTTGAAATACATAGTTGTGGGACATTTTGCACAGGAGACTATCTATGTTGTAGTTAGGCCTGATAAAATAAAATAGTATAAAATACTGTAAATACGTTTGTCTACTGAAGTCTAATTCCTAACAAGACTCTTTTATGCTTATAAAATAATACCTATCTTTTCCACTGTTTTCATGGTTACAGTACCTTTTCATTTTGTTTAGTCTTTGATTTTTATTGTTTCATTTATACCCTGCTCTCTCTCTTTTTAAACAACTATATTCTAACTCTGTAATCAGGCTTGTTTTTCCTGATTGCATTGACAATTACCAGTGAGAACAGAGAGGATGAGTTGTAGTTTTCTTTATTTTTGAATTAGCTAGCAAATCATAGAAGAATCCAGTGCACAATTCCGCAATCCTAACCATTGGGAGCAGTAAAGACCATTATTTTCTCTCCTACTGTTGGCAGGGGTCAGCATCCCTGTCATTAGCAGTGTCAAAATATAATTATATTACTGCTCTTTATAGGAACAGATACTTAACCAAACATAAAAAACACCACAGAGTTGTAAATATGAAAACTTTTCTTACAGTACTTACTGAAACAGCATTTGGAGATGATAGTAGAGGAGGAAACCAGAAAGAATACTATTGCTGTGTAGGTATATATATTGAACTGATGATCTGACATCTCCAAAAAGAACAAAACCCAAGATAATATTCTACTACTTAATTTGGACAGTGTGATCATCAAATATGATTTCTTTTTGTAACACGCAGTTACAAAGAGACATCATGTTACTTAAAATAGCTTTCAGTTGAATCAACCACTCTTATTAGCCTATAAATGTCAGAAATTCAACTATGTTTCAAGTTTCAAGAAGTGAACAGTTACCCCAATTCTAAATCTGTCTGTCCAGCCTATGAGTTCTACTATGTTATTTCAAAGCTGACCTATATACAGCAGCATACCATCCATTCTGTCTGTTTGTACAAGAGATACCTCACACAGTTGCCATAACCAACATTGTTTGCATTGTTCTCTCACTTTTCTCCCTCCATGGGATATGTGATAAAAACAGGAAAAGTCAGCATAGTGATATATGCAAAACATAATGTGCTTGAACAGTAAATAAAGGAACAGAAGTCTAAACTGTTTAGAATACTATTTTAAGTTGATAAAACAAAGATCTAAGCAGTCTTTGAAACAAAGACTGCCACTTGAAAAGCAGCAAAGATGGGACAGTGAATCCACATTATTGCATTTTCTTTCAAGAAAACATTGCTGTGCTGATTGTTTCTGACCACAGATATACATACCAAATACAATTCAAATGTTTATATTTTTGAACTGCTGACTGATACGCCATTAAAAAGTATCTGTTCTTTAATAAAAGGAAAGTTATAGGAGCATTTATAAAACTTCATTGTCCCTATTTGAGGAACACATTCTAAATTAACAGAAGTTTAAATAGAGTAAGCACATCGCAGATGGAAAAAAGTTAATAAAAAACTTTACCATTTATCTTTGAAAAGCACAGAATTAAGGGGCTAAATCCAGCAGTCAGTACCCAATCAAAACTTCCACTGACTTCCAAGGGAACAGGATCCAGCCCTGAATGAGGATTTCAGTGTTCAGCCCAAGGTAAATGACACCAAACAAGACCAAACTATCATCCTTCTCTGGAACATTTGTCAATCACTCCCACAATGAATACTTTTGCATTTAGAGACTAACTGTTAAACAGACCACCAAGCTTACTGAAGACAAAATTCTATGGGCCTCTGCCTGACACTGAAAACTCCCATCATGAAAATGAGCGACAAATAAATATTTTTCATACTACTGAATAATTACAACAGAGTAGATAAGATTTTGCAGCAATGTTAATCATGCTGATTGGAGGGACTGAGGGTAGAGGTAGAAAATGAAACATCCAGTAACTGCATGCCTCTCAGGGGCCTAACAAACCTACTCAAGTCCATTTAATGCAATCCATGACCAGTGTCCAAGACAGTGATGGAGAGATGTGTTCCTCCTGAAATAGGTATCTTACATGTAAAATTTCCAGCATGTTGTTTCCAAGCAGAAAATGATGCCTCGTGTCATGTATTTTAAAATACATTATCAGTCCAGAATAAGTTAAATAGAAGAGCTGCAACTTGTCTACAGAATGAGTGCCTCATCTGCATTTAAAAAGAACAGTTTGCTCCTTCATACATGGCATGACTTAAAAAGAAGCTTCAACCAGCTAGTAAAGAAATTCTGAAAGACTTTCTAAATTAATTTATTCCATTTACAGTGCAACCCACCAAAATGATTTAAAGCACTTAATTGGAAAATGATTTAATATATTAAAGTAATTCCTGATTTTCCAAAGCATTTAACTTTTAAATTAAATCTAGCCCACTATCTCAAGAATGATGAGAGAAATGTGTATTCAAGTCATTACCTTCTTTTTGAAGCTTTAAATCAACTGATATGTTTAATAACGTTTGTCCGGTTTCATTGCCAAATCAGTCTTCAGATACTTGGTGCTTATGCCTTTAATTCTACCCCAGGCTTCTTATAGGCCAACATTTGAAGGTTACAATTTACAATAAAGGGAACACAGAAAACATTTTCTGTAGCAAGTCAGAAACAAAAGTTGTACCTTGGTTATCACTATGAGCAGTTAAAAGGTAACACATGCACTCTTGCATGCAGCTGGTCCATTCCCACTATACAAAGTTCTCACTTTTCCCAAACTTCTCCTCATGTATGGGGCAGCCTGTAGGGATACTGCAAAACATGACTGCTACCAGCAACTGTACCATCCATAGACATCCATCACAAAGGACCAGCTTTATCCCTGAATTCTTTAACTCTGGTGAGAACCAGGGAGTTACACTAAGGATGTATTTGGTCTTTCTTTTTTTTCTCTTTTTTTAATGGTGTGAATGCTAGGTTAGACCATGCTGGATTTTTTTTCTGGAAACTGGGGGTACTTTGTCCCAGAGCTTCAGCATCCATTTTTAAATCAGATATATTTTATCTGATTGTTGACTTTTATTCCTGAATCTATGCAGCCACTGGCTCTACATATCTGTATGACATGCGAAACCAGCATGACAATGGACAAGCACACAACACAGCAGTGTGTTCCAGTGAGTTTCAATGCCCCTCAATGGAACGGCACTGGGCATCTTGCCCGTTCAAGAGGGTGCACTGCAGAGGTTGGGTGGCAACAAGCGGGCACAGAACAATCCGAAAGAACCAGTCCTAATGCAAGTCTCCTTGCTGACTAACAAGCAGCAGAGTTTAGGCTGCAAAAACATCTGCTGCAGCTTGCAACAACAGACTTCCAAGCCAGATTTTAAACAAATGCCTGAAACACACAGGTTTAAACAAATCTTTATAGAAGTGCTTGTTCACAGCTTTCTCCCCTGGCGGGGGTGTGCTCAAGGAGTGCTCTGGGTAGCTCACACTTCCTAATGATTTCCTATGGCCAGAATATTATTCATGTGCAAAGCCATTCCACAACAGCAGAGAAAGTGCAGATCATGCATAAAATACCAGCTGGCTCATGCCACAAGAGCGGGTAACAATGGAAAGAGCCCTAGCCTCTTGTTCATGAGCAAAAGTAATGCAAAGTGCTCCAGGATCACAGCAGCAGAGTGCAAGAAAACCCAGTGCCCAGGTTTCTTGCAAATAATACCAGCCTGCTTTGCAATTCCTCCTTCTCCCAGCCTCTTGCCCTCAACTTCTCTCTTCTATTTACAGCAATTTAAGCAAGCTGCAGGGGGATGAATAATGCACATGCACAGCCAGTGCAAAGTTGATCTTCTGGGCTCCACAAACTTGTCACTCTTTTGATTTTGTACAACCCCTCCCCATCACAAATTGCTAAATGCTGGTTCTTGCCAAGGCTTTGACACATGAACTGAAGAGCACACATTGGGAATTTTGCCTTTTTTTTTAAAAGGAAAAACAAATCAGAGTTTGTTTGCAAGGGTGATTTTGTTTTTTTTTGTTTCTAATAAAGGGAGCAGGCAACCTGGGATGTCTCCCACATGGCCACCCCTTTTCACCTTGTTTCTCAGAAAGCAATGGTGGAAATAGTGACTTAAAGACTTCAGCTGGGGGATGAGGTTACATACACACACATACAGCAACAACAAAAAATTACTTGGTGCACCAAGAATTACTGCACAACTCGCCCGCCCCCAAACTATTCTGGGGTTTTATTTTAAGAGTCCTTCCACAAGAGACAGAGAAACAGATACACCCCTGGGTTGGCTCCCAGCAAGAAAGGTAGGACTGGAGCAAACGCTGTTACTCTTCCCCCCTGCACCATAGGGGCATCTATCTAGGGCCCCCCCCCCGGGGGGCTTGGTTGAAATACAGCACTGCCCTACTGAAAACAAACATGAAACCCCCTCCGACAGCGGCTTTGGGGTGGCTGCTTTTGCCTACATGTGCAGCCTGCTAAGACAGAGCTCCCCATTCATGCAACAACAACACAACAGGCACACAACCAAGAACACTGAGCAAACACCTCGAAGAAAACAAAACACGAGTCACCTTGTTGCAATAGTAGGGGTCCAGGCAGGGAGAAGGTCCCAGGCAAGGAGTATCAGGAGCGGCTGCAGGCTGTGGTGGCGGTGGTGAATAAAATCTTACGTCCATTGCACTAAAACATCAAGCAAACTCCTTTCCCCCTCCCCGCCTTTTTTTTTGTTTGGTTTTGTTGGACACCCCTCTCTCCTGGTGTATGGGTGTGTGTGTGTGAGTGAGAGAGACAGAGAGAGAAAGAAAGAAAGGGTGAGTGTGTGTTGATGCAAAATAAAATAATAATAAAAAAAACAAGGTTGAAGAGGCTCAGAAAGAGGTGCCTGAGTTTAGGAGTGAAAGAAACACCTTCCCTGCCTCACATCCGTTTGTGGTTTTGCAAAGAAGAAGAACAAAAAGAGAGAGAGAGAAAAAGAAGAAAAAAAAAACTCTGCCAAAAAAGCACCAATGTGCAGCTGTCTGCAAGAGAAACAACAAGCCCTCCTTCTTCTCCTAGAGCAGGGCAGGTAACTTGGAGTACTTATTGTTTTCCCCACACACACGCACTGGGCTCGCTCGCTCTATTTGGATTCTCGGAGTTGGTGCCTCTCTCTTTCTTTCTCTTTCTTGTCTGCTGGATTTGGGGTTTTATTTGGGTGCTGCTTTATTTTCTTTTCTCCACCTTGAGAAGTGGGGAAGGGAGGAAAACAAAACAAAACAAAACAAATAATAATAATCAAAAAGCGACTGCCCGCCCAGGGAGGGAGGGACGGGGGCAGAGACGAAGGCGCTGCGCGCGGAATGGCTGCCCCGCGCCGCTGCCTGGGTGGAGGAGGACGAGCAGAGGGACGCGGTGCGGTGCGGTGCGCTCCGCTCCCGGGCTCGCGGCTCCCTCCGCTTCACACAAAGGGGCTGGCGAGTAAAGGGCCATTTGCGGCCGCCGCGGCCAGGGCTGAGAAGGCAGAGAGGGGGCGCTGCAGCACCCCCCGCCCGCTGCTCCCTCCCCTTCCTTCCCATCCCGCCTCCGCCCTCCCCCCAGCCTGCCCGACCCCTGCTAGTTACTATGGTACCTCCTCAGAGCAGCGCAGCGCGGCAGCGGCGGCTGGCCGGACCTGAGGAGCCAAAGGAGGAGAGAGGGGGCAGGAGCAGGAGCGGGGAAGGGGGAGGGAATAAAGGCCGGGGGAACACAAAGGGATGCCACTCATGGGACTTGAGAACGGGGCTCCCAGCTTTCTAGTCCTGGCACAGTCTCTCCTGCGTGGCCTTGGCCAAGTCACTTTAACTGTGTCCTGGCTGTCACAGATTCTCCTGTGTGGGCTTGGCCAAGTCACTTTATTTAACATTGTCCTGGCTGTGTCACAGGCTCTCTTGTACGCCCTTCACTACATTACTTTATTTAACGTTGTCCTGGCTCTGTCACAGATTCTCCCACGTGGCCTTGGCCAAGTCATTTTATCTAACTTTGTCCTGGCCGTGTGACAGGCTCTCCTCTCCGTGTGACAGGCTCTCCTGTGTGCCCTGCACTAAGTCACTTTATCTAACTTTGTCCTGGCTGTGTCACAGACTCTCCTGCATGGCCACGGCCTAGTCAGTTTATCTTCATCTGTGCCTCAGTTTCCTACCTCTAACACAAAGACAATGGTGCTTTCTCATCTGAAAAAGATACATCCAGCAGCGGCTGCCCATACACATACTCTCAGGATGGGGGTGCACCTGGTGATGCTGTCAGTTTTGTCCTTGGGGTTTCCTTTCTAAAGCCCCAGCTTGTGATGTAAGTGTAAAAAAAGAGACACTCTTAGTCCACATTTGTAAAGTAAAAGTCTAGATTTCACCACTACAGAAATGTGCTGACAGAGGTGACCCAAGTGCATGGCTCAGCTAACAGTAGTCAAAAAGAAAAACCCCAATGGACTATTTTTAAAATATCTTACACATTTTGGAGCTTGACTTATTTTTGAACACTTGAGGCTGGCACCAAACACGTCCATATTTACAATAGGCAGGTAGATAAGGGAACAAAGTTTAAAGAGGAAGCAAGGAATTAGGAGGCAGGGAAAGTATCAAAACTGAGAAGGAAGAGGAACAAAAGTAGTTGGAAAGAAAAATGAGGGAGAGAAAAGTCAGAAGCATGAATAGAGGAAAGGCAGATGGACGGGGGAAAAAAAAAAGAGGTAAAGGAGGGGAAATGGGAAGAAGAAGAATTTGAAGGTCACCCTGAGTAGATCCCAGTGGTTTTCTGTTGGATGACTGGGAGTTTTAGTGAAGAACAGGCAGATTATAAAGTAATACTAAACTGTAAGTGAAAGGATACAGGAAAGACAATTTTAGTAGATGTAAACATCACTGCAAAGCTAGAGATTTAAGATGGAAAAAAGGAACATGTCTTACTGGTTACTCATTTTAAAAAAAAACTACCGACCTACACACAGATAAGCTTTGATGATCATTTCTAATGCGAGGGTGATGTTTACATTTACCAAATGCTCATATGATCATTTACCTTCATAAGATGTACAGAGTCCAAAGTACTTTTACAACTGTATGTACTTTTATGAACAAGATTTCCACAAAAAATTCTTAGAAACATTGCAAATAAGAAACCAAAATAAACGTTTCAAAATGTTTGTTGGAATTTTAAGTGAAAAATCATGATCTCTAAATAAACAGAACAGGGTATATTATAAAAACCATTGATTTCTATTTAGTGGTTCAAGCATTTTCATATTTGGAAGATTACATTAAGATAGGGATTGTGTTATGGCTTGCCTCTACATCCAATTCCCTTTCCTATTAGGCACTGTAAAGCTTAGTTAGTTGGTAAGAAATACTTAGGGTAATATTAAAGAGACACCAGATAAAAGCCTGAAGCTAGGGGTTGTTTTTTTTTAGTTTAGTTTAATTAATTAAAAATATCTGGCTATCTTCTATGTTGGCAACTCCCTCAATTACTTAAAGTCTTGGGATATTAGCTGATTTTCTTAAATCTCCATCTCCTGGCTTCATGTGATAAAGAAAGCATCTCAGCTTTCATTTTCTAAATAAAGTTTCTAGACCTTCAGGCTATGGAGAAAAGCTTGAAAATGTGATCCAAACACACCCTAAATGCTCAACACCAGAAAGCCAACAAAAGAACCCAATATTATTTTAGAAGAACATACCCATTTTCTGGGGCTTAACTCGTGATTTTAGAACACTTGGGATGGGTAATACTGAGAGCAGAAGCATTCTAAACTAGGCCACATATTGCAAGGAGTGGCAGATGTTTCCTATGGTAAATGGCTAGTCTGTAAACTATATAGTCTGATAAAGGGAATCAGAGACAGATTGCAAGCTTTGTAGAAAATCACCTCTAGAGAGAAGTTACTGTAATGTAGAAGTTGTGGTTTATCTTTCTGGTTTGTTGTGAAGAAGAGGAGTAGTGATATTGATTATAAAAGTTTCTCTAGGTCACTGATGCAGAGGTGAGTGAATATACAAGTGATAAAAGAGGAAATGATGCAAGAAGCAGAATAGGTTTGAACATATTTATCTGAAATACAGATTTCATAGACATTCGGGCTGGAAGGGACCCTGGAGGATCATCAAGTCCAGCCCCCCCCC